GAACAGCACCGTGGTGCTGCTGCTGGGGTTGACGTACAAACCTTCCCTGTGCTGGCCATGCCCCCAGTCGGCATTGTGCTTTGGCAAACAGCACGTAGATGCAAGCTAACGCCTGGCCTGATGGCTCATAAACACATACGGTCTGTATTACGGGAGATGAATGAGCTGGTCCTAATTGAATTCGTATGTGGCACGTCATATAGCGGTTCCCCTTCCCCCCTCCTCCCTCCCTCCTTGCAGAAATGGAACGTGTTCAGACTGTTTGAAAAATGATGCATAAGAAGTACTCTTTAGTTAAAAGAGCATTAAAAAATAACTTTGATATATATTAATTACCAATTTCATTTAATAGCATATTGAACGTTATAGCATTTATAAACAAAAGACAATCATAAAGCATTATTCTGACTGTTAATTAGCTCTATTTATTCTCCAGATTAGTTTTTAAATATGCCCTCTAGATGCCACTTGATACTAATTAACAGAGTTACATTATTATCTCTACAGAAAAGCATTTTTAATTAAATCTAAAGCAATTTAAATTAGCATGAGTTTTTACAGAAATTAAACTCTGGTCAGATGCTTAATTTAGCCTTATAAGACAACATCTGATGACATGCCAGTGTCAGTTCTCCCAGGGGCCTTGACGTCTTTTTTGGAGATTATTTTTTGAAGTTTGTTTTCAGGGAAACTTGCCAGTATAGTCTGGTGTTTAATATTTATGATGGATTTAACCATTATTTTTTTTAGAGGACTAAATATTGATGGGAATCCACGTGCATTGCAGTGAGCTGAGATAAAAACGCAGGAGGCGCATTCCCGCAGCTTATAGGCTTTCACAGTCCCTGGGTTTGGGTGGTGGAGGAAGGTTTGCGTGGGAGGTAGCATTGCATGGGCTGGATGCTGTCCAGTTACAAATCAACCGCGCTTTATAACCACTCCTAAGATTACCATTTGCTTTGCAATAAGGATTAATCATAAAACCACAAGGTCCCTTTTCTGCAATGGAAGAGTACAGAGATTGCTCCCACTCTGCGTCCCTGGAAATTGTGCCTCTTGCTTATACATTTACACTGCCATAGCATAAGCTTTTCTTCTAGTATAGCCTAATGATAAAAATTTGGCTAAAGCCTTTCCTGGAAGCAAACCCTAACTGAAATCACTGTATTTAGATTGGAGTAGGATGCCTTTCATCTCCCACTGGGAAAGACTGCAGGAGCTTCTCTGCGAGCGATGTGTGACCTACCCACCAGGCACTGCAGTCCTCGCCAGCACCACCTCTGCGAAAACGTAGCTTTGATCTCCCCAACCCCTTGCATGCCTTCCCTTCAAATAATTAGCCAGTAGCTCTATTTCTACCTTTTTTTCCCCGCTGTAGCATATTCCCTTTGGGGGATGAACCATGTGGAGCATGCAAACACTGGCCACAGGTTAGACTCTTAGGAATGTTGAGTTTGGGAGCATTTTTTTTTTATTCTAATTTCTCTCCACATGCCTAGGAATGCACCTGAAAAGAGGAGTCAGCTGTTGAAATGTTATTGCAAATTTATTACTAAGTTTGGAATGATTAATTCCAAGGCACATTTCATTTATGAGCTGTATGTTAAAGACTTCAGAGGTTTTAGTGGGGGATCACCAATGACAGAAGCAACATAGCTCAAGCTTATAGTCAGTGAG